AACCCTTTCTTATCCCAACAATAATCCTTATACTTGGGAGGTTAGGGAAGTTTCTTGAACAACTTAGACCCAGTCTCAAAATAAAAAATTAAAAAGGGCTAGTTCAGTGTGAAGGCCTTGGGTTCAATACCTAGTACTGTTTTTTTTTTTTTAAATTTTTATTTATTTATGTGTGTGGCCAACTCAGTCCACCAGGGGGCGGGCTGGCTGGCATGTGGTGCTGGGGGATCGAACCGTGGTCCCTGTGCTTTGCCAAGCTTGTTCCAAGTAGGTGCCTTAGACCACTGAGCCATCTCACCAGCCCACCTAGTACTGTTAAAAAGATAAAGATATCTTCAGATTGTGGCAAGAACTATACAGACAGTAGGATACAGTGGTAAATGAGATTGTAAAAGGAATGGCCACCTTCGCCTATGGGGTCAGAATATGCCTTGTGAACCAGCAATGTCACATCACCCAGAAGTAGATTAGAAATGCAGATTCTTAGCCCAGCATGGTGGTGCATGTTTGCAGTCCCAACACTGGGGAGGCTGAGGCAGAAGGATCATTGCAAGTTCCAGGCCAGGCTGGGCTACCTACTGAGTTCAAGGCCTGCTTGAACTGTGTAGTATGACCCTGTTTCAAAAAGACCAAAGAAAGGGCTGGCCAGATAACTCAGCGGATTAAAGCACCTGCCTAGGCAGAGGCAGGGGCCTGGGGTTTGATCCTCTGCCTGCTGTGCCGGCCTTGCCCCTGGGGCAAGATGAGATAGCGATTGGGACTGAGTGTGATGGGACAGGCCCATAATCCTGGCGCTTGGGAGGCTGAAAAATAGGAGGATCACTATGAGTCTGGTCTGTAGGGAGACCCTGTAAACCCTGTACTAAATACATTTTAAAAAAAGAAAACTAAGAAAGGAAGGCAGACTCTTGGGCCCCATCCCAGACTTTGGGAATCAGAATCTCAGGGGACTCTGGGGGATTCTGGTGCTTACCAGAGTTTAACCACTAAGAAGCTGCTCTTTTTTTTTTTTTTTTTTTTTTTTCTGGAACTGGGTATTGAACTCAGGCCCTTGTGCTTACCAGGGAAGCGCTTATTCTACTGAGCCATCTCCCCAACCCTGGAGCTGTTCTTTTTGTACAGTGCCTTCCACACGACCAGAGTCTTGTTGGTCCTATAGAAATCCCAGCCTTTAATTCACAAATGATAAATTTATGATTTCCTTTTTTTTTTTTTACTTCTCGATAGCAATCCTTTATGGCTTTCAAACACTTTTACAACTCACTTGTTTTGTCTTCCACTCCCTCCAAAAAACAAAGCCACGTTGTTTCAAAGCTAGAGCTGTTCATCGCAGGAGGCCTCTATGTGATCTTAGCTTATACACATTGAAGAGGAGTAATGACATCGTTTAGCAAGATTCTTGAAGGATAAATTTATGATTTCTTTCTTTTCTTCTTTTTTTTTTTTTTGGCGGAACCAGGGATTGAACTCAGGCCCTTGTACTTGCCAGGGAAGCGCTTATTCTACCAAGCCATCTCCCCGGCCCCAATTTATGATTTCTGATACATGATTTTTAAAATCACAAGTCACATTATCTCTCTCTCTTTTTTTTTTGCGGAACCAGGGATTGAACTCAGGCCCTTGCACTTGCCAGCCAAGCACCTATTCTACTGAGCCATCTTCCCAGCCCCTACAATATCTCTTTGTGATTTTCCTCCTACCTATTTCCAAAAGGAATTTAAGATATTTTTCTATAAAAGACATATGTTTAACCACTAAAGTAAAATAAAATTAGAAATTAGCAAGCAGGTCATGCTTAAGTATATGCAAGAAAACAGAAATTATCCCATGCATATTATCTGACCACAGTGCAATGAAACTGGAAATAAATGACAAAAGATACCAGAAAGACTCCCTAAATACATTGAAATTAAACAACACTCTACTCAACAATCAGTGGGTCACAGATGAACTTAAACAAGAAATTCAACAATATCTACAATTCAATGAAAATTCAACGACAGCATATTGGAATTTGTGGGATGTGATGAAAGCTATTCTCAGAGGGAAATTCATAGCCATGAACTCACACAGTAGGAAAATAGAACGAGTACAAATAAACACCCTAATGCTGCACCTCCAGCATCTAGAAAAGGAAGAGCAAACCAAACCCAAAGCCCAAAGATGGGAATAAATCATAAAGATTAGAGCAGAAATTAATGCAATTGAGACAAAGGAAACATCGTTAAAGAATTAACGATCAAAAAGCTGGTTCTTTGAAAGATTAAATAAAATTGATAAGTCCCTAGCTAACCTCATCAAAAAGAGGAAAGAAAAATTCAAATACAAGCAATAAGGAATGAAAAGGGTGTAATTACCACAGACCCAGTGGAAATGCAGAAGATTATCAGTAGCTACTTTGAGAATCTTTATGCTCATGAAATAGAAGACACAAATGAAATGGACAGATTCCTAGAAAGGTACAAACTACCAAAACTGAATCAAGAAGATGTAACAACTCTCACTAACCCAATAATAGCCAATCAAATACAAAATGTAATAAAAAACATACAAAGAAAAGTCCAGGTCCTGATGGATTCACAGCTGAATTCTACAAGAAATTTACAGAAGATATAATGCCTATACTCTTCAAAATATTCAATGAAATTGAAAAGGAAACAGTTCTCCCAAAATCATTCCTGGAGGCAAGTATTATACTGATAGCAAAACCAGGGAAAGACAGAACTAAAAAAGAGAACTACAGGCTAATCTTCCTCATGAACATAGATGCAAAAATCCTCAATAAAATCCTAGTAAATAGAATACAGCAAATCATTGAGAAGATCATACACCATGACCAGGTAGGATTCATCACAGATGCAAGGATGGTTCAGTATTCAAAAATCTATAAATGTAATACACTATATCAATACAGTGATATCTAAAAACCACATGATCATCTCAACTGATGCAGAAAAGGCTTGTGACATAGTCCAACACTCACTCATGTTCAAAGTCCTACAGAAAATTGGAATAGATGGCCTCTACTTCAATTTGATAAAAGCCAACAATGACAACCCAATGGCTAATATAATTCTAAATGGGGAAAAACTGGGCTGGTGAGATGGCTCAGTGGTCTAAAGCACCTACTTAGAACAAGCTTCGCAAAGCACAGGGACCAGGGTTCAATCCCCCAGCACCACATGCCAGCCAGCCCCGCCCCCTGGTGGGCTGAGCTGGCCACACACACATAAATTTTTTAAAAAAGTTTAAATAGGGCTGGAGAGATGGCTCAGTGGTCTAAAGCACCTACTTAGAACAAGCTTAGCGAAGCATCAGGGACCGCGGTTCAATCCCCCAGCACCAC